ACTGACTACTGATTCTGTGTCGAGAGGTAGCGGCCCATCAGACGAACTTCGTTGCCGCTTTAGGTGTGTGTTTTAATTTTGGCAGCAAAACTTCATTCGACAAAGTTCGTTCAGCGATTTGATTCGTTGGAAAACTCAGATTGGTTATGAGTTCGTTGTCAATTCGATATGCATATTGGATATCGACGGCCATTTCCGAACGATCGCCACAATGTTTACTGACAATCTAGAAAAAAACTTACCGTTTTGCTCCACCGGCATCTGGTGAAACAATAATGGAGTTTTTCCACTCTGGTATATTTTCCTTAATCCACTTTAAAACAGCCGGTTCAGCATAAAGGTTGTCCACAGGAATATCAAAGAAACCCTAGACAATAGAAATAGAACACACTTGTACATATATCGTAATAGATATTCACAGCAAAAGAAGGCAATTTAAATTTATTCAAAGCCTATTCAACTTTCAAAGATACATAGTATACATACATACATACAACATACATACATACGTCTGTATAAAGGAAAATTCTAAAAAGGAAACATTTATTTAAACATCATCTTCGAAATGCCAAAAAGATTAACTGATGAGGAGCTTTCAGAACTTAAAAACTGGCTAGCAGATCATCAAATCAATCCGAATAAATTGCATCGCGAGTTTTCAGATGCAGTAGCTTTTGCGAATTTGTTAAAGAAATTGTATCCTAAATTAATAGATTTGCATAATTATCCGCCTAGAAACAACACTCAACTAAAGTTAAACAACTGGGAAACGCTAAATTTTAAAGCCCTCGGAAAAATTGGTCTTCAGCAAACTAGAGACATGTTAGAAAAGTTTGCGAAAGGTACCCCCGGAGCAATAGAATCTCTGCTGTATGATATCAAAATGCATGATCGAAATTCTATAAAAGGTGAAAGAAATGATGAACAAGAGCAAGCCTGGTCAGAAAATGACGACATTATTGTGGTGAATGTTAATAAAAAGATTGGTGATGCAATTGTCCAAGTCCCACAAAAGATGATTTTATACTCAATCTACGAGCAAGCTCTTCGAGACTGCCAGACAAAAGACTCTTATTTGAATTCCGCAAATCAAAAGATAGCTCATCTTGAAAACATACTGAAACTTAAAGCTGAGCGAATAGATGAATTGTGCGGTCAACTTGCTAAGGTGTCAGTGCGAAGTTTGTTGAAGCATCATAATTTAGAAAATTCTAGCCCCAATTCGCTCCTTAATTTGGATAATATTGAGAATGAAACGAACATATGTTTAGATTTTTAAGTATTTTCATTAGGCTCCTTTGAGCTTACANAATCAAAAGATAGCTCATCTTGAAAACATACTGAAACTTAAAGCTGAGCGAATAGATGAATTGTGCGGTCAACTTGCTAAGGTGTCAGTGCGAAGTTTGTTGAAGCATCATAATTTAGAAAATTCTAGCCCCAATTCGCTCCTTAATTTGGATAATATTGAAAATGAAACGAACATATGTTTAGATTTTTAAGTATTTTCATTAGGCTCCTTTGAGCTTACAATTTAAAAAATAAATAAAAATAAAAAATTGGACGAAATACATATAAACACATGTACTAAAAATATATCTACATATGTACCGTACATATATTTTTATTTGATGATAAATTAAATTTGCATAGTGTATCACTGGGCGGCCGCTGTGGCTGAGTGGTAAGGTACATACGTTCTACCACTACACACTTGCCTTCAAGTGCGAATAGGTTTTTCGGACATGTAACAACATTCTGCTAATGCAGATTTGTTGGGAATTACTTAGTCTTCTTATATCTACTATATACATCTACCTACCTAAACTATCTTTGACTTTGCTAGCAGGGTTGTTGCGAATATTCGCATTCGCATTAATTTTGATATTCGCGTTCGCACTCGTNGAGTGGTAAGGTACATACGTTCTACCACTACACACTTGCCTTCAAGTGCGAATAGGTTTTTCGGACATGTAACAACATTCTGCTAATGCAGATTTGTTGGGAATTACTTAATCTTCTTATATCTACTATATACATCTACCTACCTAAACTATCTTTGACTTTGCTAGCAGGGTTGTTGCGAATATTCGCATTCGCATTAATTTTGACATTCGCGTTCGCACTCGCAATAATCAATGCGGAGCTTTTGCGAATGCGAATGTTGTGCAAATGCACCGATAAAACGTATATCTGGCAAACAAAATGACCATTTGTAGCCAATATTTTTTGCCTTTAGTTGTGGTAGTATTTCTTTAACAAAACTGGTAAACTTTGATAAAAATGGCTTTAAACATAGTAGTTATAGTCGAAAGTTAAAACCTCTTCTAGCTAAAATTAATCTTTAAGTTTAGAGCAGGCTTTAAGTTTTATACGGTAGACAAACGGGCTCGATTATTTGCATAACCAGCCTTAATTTGCTTTAACTCATGCATTTTCCTCTTTAAAATGAGCATAAGCAGCCGAACAAATGCACGAAATTTTTGGGAATTAACTCGGATCCGGGGAATTTTCGATGACAACACTGGTAAAAACGGCCACTTGTTGTCTTTTGTACAAGTAAGCAAACGAAGCAGTCGAGTTTCGCGTACGCGGTAGCCGAGTGGTGAGAGTTGCGAGCTACAAGCTACCAGGTTCGATACTCGGTTGGAGCGATTTGCGAAAAATGTTTTGTTTTTATTATTTCTTTTATATTTTTTTATTTTATTTTATTTATATATTTAATTTTACTTTATTTTATTTTCATTTGCTTTATTTTATATCACATTTCTTATTTTACTATTAGTTAATTTTAATTTTTAGAGATGAATTTTGTTAAAAATTCAACAACAACTAACTGAAAGTAACGTAAAAAAAATATAGAACTTATAAAAAAAGAATGAAAAAGAAATAAAAAAAGTATACTGGCCGTGGGACTCGAACCCACGACCTTGCGGCTGGTTTATTCGCATTACTGCCGTCTGTAAGGGTAAAATTTTAATTTGCATTTATGCTTATTAATTCAAATTAATTTTCTTTGTCGGTCTACCATATTAGTCAGTTATAGACATGTTAGAGGCAGGTTTTTGCTAGATTGACACAAAACAGGGCTATTAATATAAAAAGAAAAAAGTAACCAATCGGCATTAGGAAAACTTTGTTATTTTAGCAAGTTCACCCTGTGTCAACTGACTTTTATAAATAATTTTGAAAATGGCGCAGCAAACTGTAAGTAAATAACAAATTTTATAAAATATAATTTATTAACGTAAATAATTTCATTTTTATAGGAAGTGAAAAGAATTCGTGAAGTTAATTGGACTGCTGCTGAAAAGACTTGCTTGCGGTTTTCCTCTTTCATTTGAAAAGGATCTTGGCGTTCATTGTAAGTTTTCCTATTTCTGGTTACGATTGTATCATCCAAAATCGCAAAATCTCGAAATATCCTTTAATTGGGAAGCATATTCTTCAAATTAAGACGACTTTTGTATTTTCTCCGCAAATTTTGACGGGAAAACGTCTACTTAGAGTGCGCTTTTAAGATTTTAAAACCTCGTCAACCTCTTTTTAAATTTAAAACGCCGTTTTAAAGTTAAAAGGTCTTTTAAGTTGACTATGACAGTGTTAAAAGAGTGTTTATCTTAATATACAGTTTTAAATGTTAAAACCTGCCTCTAACTTGTCTATAACTACGGGCCATTATTTCTTAAGCTATATAACCGAGATATCAATGGGCAGTCATGCAAGTTCCCACTTCTACATGACCTTTGAGGTACGTCAAAGAGAACATAGTCCTTTTAATAATATTTTTTTTTGTTTTCTGTGCTTTAAATACCTGCATTTTCAATTCAATTCAATTCAATTCAATTCATTTATTAAGTCAATGGCAAAAAGCCTTACTGACTAGATTTACAGATTCCTTAAACTTAAACTTAAAACTAATAAAATATTAAATCAATGGCGGATTATCTCGGTAGTAAGATTCAATATCTGCCTTGAAATGGAACCTTGACATTGCGAAATCGAGAACAATAATTCTGCAGATTTGCAGATTTGCTTTTGATGTTACATACCGTCACCTTAATACACAAAAATCAAATCATTCATACGGATAGGGCATATTAAAAAGTGGCATAACTCTGTTGTTTTTGGTACTAACACTTTAAAATTAGTGAAGGTGTATTTTAATATCCTACCAAAAGCAGTGAAAAATGCAATTTCGAAAAAAGTGCTGGTTAGGGCCTTTGTGAATTAAGGTAGGGATGCCCAAATTNACTAACACTTTAAAATTAGTGAAGGTGTATTTTAATATCCTACCAAAAGCTGTGAAAAATGCAATTTCGAAAAAAGTGCTGGTTAGGGCCTTTGTGAATTAAGGTAGGGATGCCCAAATCAGCACATATGTGTCGCGCGCGACTGCGCGTGCAAAGCTTTGCACAGCGGTGCTTGGCAAGCGCGGAAGCAAAAAGTTATCGGGAGGGGAAAACGAAGTCAACAGAATAGTGAGATTGTATGTGTGACAGAGATGGAAAATGAGTGCATTGTGCTATTTTCGGCCCTTTCGGAAGCAGCCGGCACCTTCAGCACAATCGATTGAATTTAGGCACTATTTTTGCGTAACTCAATGCAACTAATAAATATTTCTTTCGGATCCGCAATTAAAAATATTTTTTTTACATTTAATCGTATGTGCTTAAACTGATAAATGATATAAACATAGAAACGCAAGCAGAAGAATCTCGCTTCCACATTCTGCATATGCGCTTAACATTTTTGTTTAAACAAATTTGTCGAAATATCATTTAATATATACTTTAGAGTTAAATAATCATTTTTAGTGGTGGGCGAGTCCGAGATGTTTAAATGATTGAGCTAGTACATTCAATTCGCGTAGATTTTTGAGAACTTTTTTCGTTGAAGGTGTTTCACTTTTTCTTCCATACTGAAACTTTTGTACATCCAATTTGTATAAAGAAAATGCAAAAAAATATTAAAAATCAACATGAATTCTTAGCTGCACTTTCACTTTATAATACTAAAATTGAATCGACTATAAAACTGCATACCGTACTTTTATTGATTTTATTGCCATCAACAAGATTTTTCGTAAAAGCGCTAGCACAACCTCAACAACAAAGTTATTATTAATGGATAAAAGATACATCTTTTTGGATTCGGTAATAAGTTTTGACATTTTAATAGCATTTCAAGGCCTTATCAAAACTTTACGGCACTCACATATTGACAAGGTTGGACCATTTATATTAATATTATATATTTTTTTTTATAAAAATACAGTTTATACTTAAAAATCCAAAGTTCAATCCAAATCCAAGGTTCAATCTTTTTGCAACATTAAAAAAATCAACACACTTTCGTAAAAATTTC